AAGTTTCAAAGCCAGCACAGGCAGAAAAGTTCGTAAGACTTTCTTTCTTTCTTTCTTTTCCTCTCTCTCTCTCTCCTTCCTTCCTTCTCTTTCTTTCTTTCTTTCTTTCTTTCTTGTAAAGATACAGAGGGGTTATGTTATATGAGTAAGGTAATGGGTACATTTCCTATCGAGCATTGTTACCCCTGTAAGACTTATGACCAATAAACTACTCAGAAAAAGTCAGAAATTGCACTGTGGCTCAAGTGGTAGGTTGCTAGCCTTGAGCAAAAGAAGCTAAGGGACAATGCCTAGGCCCTGAGTTCAACCCCAGGACTGGCAAAACAAAACAAAAACAAAAACACCTCAATGTAAGGCCAGATACCACTAACGTATTACAGGAAGGAGTAGGAGAAACACGAGGGCTCCTAGGCATGGGTCAAAACTTCCTAAGTAAAGGGCTGGGACTGTGGCTTAGTGGTAGAGTGTTTGTCTTGCATATATGAAGTCCTGGCTTCGATTCCTCAGTACCACAAAAGCCAGAGGTGGTGTTGTGGCTCCTTGGAAGACTGCTAGCCTTGAGCAAAAGAAGCTCAGGGACAGTGCCCAGGCCCCGACTTAAAGCCCCAGGACTGGGAAAAAAAAAAACAGAAACAGGAAAAAAACAACAACCAAAAACCCCAAAAATTTCCTAAGATCAAGACTCATAACAAATTGAAGAAAGCCTAGATAAATGAGATTGTATCAAACTGAAGAGTTTCTTCATGGCAAAGGACATAGCTAACAAGATAAACAGAAAGCCCATAGAAAGGAAGATTTTTACCAGCTATGTATCAGACAAGAATCTCATCTTCATTAAACCACTCAATAAACTGGAAGAGTTGCTGTAGGTCAAATGGTAGAGCGCTAATCTTGAGCTGAGCTGAAGAGCTGACAACCAACACACAAAAGTCAAGCCAATTAATAAATGGGCTAAAGACTTAGAGACTTCTCAGAGTAAGAAGAATAGCAAATAGACACATGAAGAAATGTTCAACCAGCTTACACTAAGCAAAAGGAAAGAAATGTAAATATCACCTGATGTGGAAGAAATAATTGTATTGTCAAAGCTCATAGAATTCACAAACTATATTATAGATGATGATAATGACAATTTGCCTTGTGAAGGCTAAAATGTGTTTATGACTTTAACTAAGTATCACTATTCCACAATACTATGAAATATGTGAAATTTATGTAATCACCTAATCATAATTTTAAAAAAAAAGGAAGAAAAGTTAGAGAAGGGGTGGGTTAGGAGCAATGGGTTGACAGTGTTATCAGACACTTTGTATTCATATACGGTTTTGTAGTATGGGAACTTCTTTGTACAACTACTTACATGGAGGGCTGGAAAGATGGAAGAGTGGTAGAATGCTTGCCTTGCATACATAAGGCCCTGGGTTCCATTCCTCACCACCACATAAGCAGAAAAAGCAGGAAGTGGCGCTGTGGCTCAAGTGGTAGAATGCTAGCCTAGAGCTGAAGAGCTGAGAAACAGCGCCCAGGCCCAGAGTTCAGGCCCCACGACCAACAAAAAAATAAAATAAGGGGCTGGGAAGGTGGCTCAGTGGTAGAGAGCACTTGCCTTGCATGAATGAGGCCCTGGGTTTGATTCCTCAGCACCACATAAGCAAAAAGAAAAAAGCCGGAAGTGGCGCTGTGCCTCAAGTGGTAGAGCGCTAGCCTTGAGCTGAAGAGCTGAAGGACACCACCCAGGCCAAGTTCAAGCCCCACGACTGGACCCCCCCCCAAAAAAATAATAAAATAAAATAAATCTACAAGTAAAGCCAGGCACCAGTGGCTTACATCTGTAATGCTAGTTACTCAGGAGGCTGAGATCTGAGGACTGCGGTTCAAAGCCAGCCCTGACAGAAAAGTGCCTGAGACTCTTATCTCCAATTAACCACCAAAAAACTGGAAGTGGCACTGTGGCTCAAGTGATAGAGTGCTCACCTTGAACTGAAGAGTTGAGGGACAGCGCCCAGGCCCTGTGTTCAAACCCCATGACTGAAAAAAAAATCTACAAGTTAACACATGAGGTGGTAAAAAAACAAAAACAAAACAAAACAAAAAGAACCCACTAGGGCTAGGAATGTGGCTTAGTAGTAGAGTGCTTGCCTAGCGTGCATGAAGCCCTAGGTTCAAATCTGCAGTTCCACATAAACAGAAAAGGCCAGAAGTGGTGCTGTGGCTCAAGTGGTAGAGTGCTAGCCTTGAGCAAAAAGAAGCTCAAGGACAGTGTCCAGGCCCAGAGTTCAAGGCCTAGGACTGGCAAAAAAAAAAAAAAGAAATTACACTGGGATATGATAAATTATACAGGTTTCTAGATAGTCATACAGTGAGACCAAAGGAGAATATTCATAAGACTGGATCACAAAAGCTCAATAACTATGTACATTTGATCATATAAATAATATTTTATGAAATTAACTCTAAGAAATGGAAACAAGGATTTTTTATTGTTGCTGTTGTTGCTGTTTTTGTCCTCCTTTTGTTAGTTTGTCTTTGACGGGGGGGGGGGGGGGGGGCAACAGAAAAGATGGGATAAAGGGTGAACAACTATAGCAGTGGTACTCACTGGACACTATTTTGTGGGTGAAAATAGGAGGAAAAACTGGAAGAGATTGAGGGAAGGGGTACATGGAGCTGGGAAAGTGGCTCAGTGGTAGAGTGCTTGCCTTGCATGCATGAGGCCCTGGCTTCGATTCCTCAGTACCACATAAGCAGAAAAAGCAGGAAGTGGTGCTGTGGCTCAAGTGGTAGAGCGCTAGCCTTGAGCTGAAGAGCTGAGGGACAGCACTTAGGCCCACCCAGAGTTCAGGCCCCACGACCAGAAAAAAAGAAAGAAAGAAAGAAATGCACTCTTAAGCCAGCACCAGTGGCTCACCCCTGTAATCCTAGCTACTCAGGAAGCTGAGATCTGAGGATCAGAGTTCAAAAACCAGCATGGGCAGGAAAGTCTGTGAGATTATTAATTAACCACCAGAAAACTGGAAGTGGAGCTGTGGCTCAAGTGGTAGAGGGTTAGCCTTGAGCTAAAGAGCTCAGGGACAGTGCCCAGGAGGTTCAAGGCCCACAAATGACCATCCCCTCCCCACAAAAAAAAAAAAGAAAAAAAAGAAATGCACTCATCACCTGACTTACGTAACTGTAACTCCTCAGTATATCACTTCTACAATAACAATAATATATTTTTTAAAAATAGTGTTCTGAGCTGGGAGGTAGCTCAGTGGTAGAGTGCTTGCCTTGCATGCATGAGGCCCTGGGTTCGATTCCTCAGCACCACATAAGTAGAAAAAATCAGAAGTGGCACTGTGGCTCCAGTGGTAGAACGCTAGCCTTGAGCTGAAGAGCTGAGGGACAGGGACCAGGCCCCACAACCAACTAAATAAATAAATAATTTAAAAAATAAAAAAATAGTATTCTGGGCTGGGAAGGTGGCTCAGTGGTAGAGCACTTGCCTTGCATGCTCGAGGCCCTGGGTTCGATTCCTCAGCACCACATAAGCAAAAAGAAAAAAGCCGGAAGCGGCGCTGTGGCTCAAGTGGTAGAGCACTAGCCTTGAGCTGAAGAGCTGAAGGACAGCGCCCAGGCCCAGAGTTCAGGCCCCACGACCAGACCCAAAAAATAAAAAATAAAAAAAAATAGTATTCTAACCAAGATCAAAAAAGAAAAAAAGGTGTGTGAGCACAAAAAGTATACAAAAATTTAAAATCTCATCCCCTAGTTGAGAATTATATATTTAGTAAGAGATTTGTATTCAAATTTACAAAGAACTAGTAAAGCCCAGAAATAAAAAGATTGATAACTTAATGGTTTAAAAAAAATCCATAGGCAAATGAAGCCAAGTGCAGTGGCTCACATCTGTAATCCTAGCTATTTAGGAGGTAGATATCAGGAGGATCATAGTTCAAAGCCAGTCCTCAAAAAGAGTTGGGACAGCTGGGCATAGGTGGCTTGCTCCTATAATCCTAGCTACTCAGGAGGCTGAGATGTGAGGCTTGCAGTTCCAAGCCAGCCCGGGCAAGAAAATCTATGAGACTCTTATCTCCAATTAACCACCAGAAAACCAGAAGTGGCGCTGTGGCTCAAGTGGTAGAGCGCTAGCCTTGAGCTGAAGAGTTGAGGGACAGCACCCAAGCCCAGAGTTAAAGCTTCACAACCACAACCACCAACAACAAAAAGATGGGTGCTGGTGGCTCACCTCTGTAATTCTAGCTACTCAGGAAGCTGAGATCTGAGGATTGTGGTTCAAAGCCAGCCCAGGCAGTAAAGTCCAGACCCTTATCTCCAACTAACCACCAGAAAGTGGAAATAGAGCTGTGGCTTAAAGTGGTAAAGTGCTGGCCTTAAGCAAAAAAGAGCTCAGGGACAGTGCCCAAGCCCTGGGTTCAAGCTCCACAACCTACTTCTACTCACCTCAGTTAAGTATGCTCTTAAGGGCTCTTCCATGTGCATTCATGTGCACACACACATTTTTTTCCCTACCAAACTTTGTTATTTTGCTTCACTCTCCGAGAGCCACAGATGGGAAAAGAGGATCACTTAAAGCCCAAGGTGGTACACCTGGCCCAGAGCAAGAGTCTACAATAGAAATCCCTCTCCCTACACCACCTGTTCCAGGCCTCAACCCCGACAAATATTCCCTGCCTCATTAAACAGAGGAAACCCTTCTCTAACCCATGCATCAGGGCCCTGCAGGGCTCAAGGAGGACCACACTGACTCTGAGGCCAAGGGCAGAGCATCTCCTTCACAGGAATCATCAGGGCTGACCACATACAGCAAAGGCCAACAGTGAGGTCCAGAGGCAGAGCCCATATCCAAGATGCCAACTTAGTGTCCTTTCTATTGCATGGACACACAGGAGGACCCAGAGAGAACCTTCCCACTCCCCAGGACCCCAGTATAGTTTTCAGATTCTGTAACACTCCTCTCTCAGACCCTCTTTCTTAAGGAGTTTTACACAACAGTGCCTTACCCGAGTCTTGGCCTTCAGGAACACATGGCTCTCCATATCCTTGCTGGATTTACTGTGGGCCACACCAGCTTTCCTCATGGCATCCTCACTGAAATACAGAGAGAGAGAGAGAGAGAGAGAGAGAGAGAAAGTGTTACACAGTAAATTGCTTCCAGGGGCCTGACCAGAGTCCTGCACAACAAGTGCCCTTAGGTGGCCCAGGTGTTGTCCCTTGCATGCATGAAAGGGAATGCTTAGTAGAGAAATATCAGGAGGCTGAGTTTGGGAGTAAAGGGGCAGGACCATGAGAAGGAATGGAAGAGTGGTTATCACGAAGTAAAATGGAAGCTCCATAAGCAGGCTGAGAGCCATCCCTAAAGACTGCCCACAATCAGCACAAAATCAAGTATGTATTAGACCTGGTCTCCTGCCCTCTTAGTGGTCCCTCCCTAATTGTGCCACTGAGTACAGTGGAAGCCTAGTTCCAGATTCCTCTTCTGTAAACAGGCCACAGAAGTCATCCCCCAGTTCCTATGTAGAACAATGCATGTCTCTTGATGTGACCAAAGAGACCAGCCCCAATGTCAACAATTTCTAGTGTGGGAGATGAGGAGACAATTCATAAAGTATGAAAACAGGAAATCCCATTAAAGTGTTTCTATCACATGTTGTTCCAGAGATAAACACTGTACATATGAGGCAGGCAGAGCTCCTCTTGAATAAGAGTGGTATAAGCTGTGCCTCTAACACGTGAGTATAAACATACAAAAAGTGTACCTGCTAGAAAGGAAAGGGCATATCATACTTGGGCTCTGTGACCTATCCCCTGTCTCCTAAGGGACTGGCTGCTCTACTCTGCTCTCAGCCTTCATTCTTCCCTATAGGGTAGGTCTCCTCCCTACCTGTCTTGCCAGCACTAGGTTTTATGATAAACAAACTAGTATGCCAGGGCTCTTTAGCCTCAGTTCCGAAAATAAACCTTGTTAAACCTGTCTGTGCTCAAAAGCACAAATCAACTAAGCCCAGGGTACTGAAGAATGTTGGACACAAGAGCTATAGTATCAGGTCCATGATCCTCAAAAATCACAGAAAGAAAACTGAAGACAAGTAATATAAAACAATATTGGCCTATCACACTTCTAGATTCTTCATTTAACAACCAGAGCTCAAGTTCCTCCCTCCTCATCAGCTTCCTGAAGCCTGAACTCAAGCAAAGAGCCAAAAACAGGTTCTTGCTTGCAAGGAATCCAAGGGAAAGGAACAGATGCATGAGAAGGTCTCTGGAGCCACAAGAGACTTAAGAATAATGATGTAGGGGGCTGGGAAGGTGGCTCAGTGGTACAGCGCGTGCCTTGCATGCCTGAGACCCTGGGTTTGATTCCTCAGCACCACATAAGAAAAAAAAAAAGCCGGAAGTGGCGCTGTGGCTCAAGTGGTAGAGCGCTAGCCTTGGGCTGAAGAGCTGAGGGACAGCGCCCAGGCCCAGAGTTCAGGAACCACTACCAGACCCAAAAAAAAAAAAAAAAAAAGAAATAAAAGTCTCAAGAATAGGAAGGCAGGAAATGTGAGGAAATGAGGAAATATTTTTTCATTCCCTGTATACCTATTTTCTGCAAACTTTCTCTACAGCAGACATAGCACTATTGCAACAGACATACATTTGTTCTTTAGGAGTCTGAAGTCTACAGACATGCTAGGTTTAACCCAGAAATCCCCTAAGTTTCAAGCCCCCCCAAAGCCCTACTCAGGGGGCACTAAGGGGACCTTATCCCAAGGTCTCTACAGGGAGAGGTGGTGTTCGATGAAGAGCTGATCTGAATCAACTGTTTTCTTCCTACTGCCTCCTAAAAATTTCCTTAACAGTCAAGTCCCCTAGCCAGAATTGGGGTATCATCTTCACTGATCAATGATAAGGAATCTCCTATTCCTGCAAGAACATAGAAGGAAGCATTAGAGAGCTCAACACAGAATCCTCAGGCTTCTGCAGCAGCTTGCATAGATTTTTCCCCCCCAGTCCTGGTACTTGAACCTTGGGGCTGGTTCCTGTCCTTGAGCTCCTTTTGCTCAAGGCTAGCACTCTACCATTTGAGCCACAGCTCTACTTCTGGCTTTCTCTGTGAATAATTGAAGATAGTCTCTGGGACTTTCTGGACTGGGCTGGCCTTGGGCCAGAACTCTCCTATCTCAGCCTCCTGATTAGCTAATTTTTTTTTTTTTTTGCTTGTCCTTAGACTAGAACTCATGGCGTTGTTCCTGAGCTTCATCTACTCAAGTCTAGCACTCTACCACTTGAACCATATAGCCCCACTTCCATTTTTTTTTGGGGGGGGTAGTTTAGTGGAGATAAGAGTCTCACAGACTTTCCTGCCTTGCCTGGCTTTGAACTGAGATCCTCAGATTTCAGTCTCCTGATTAGCTAGTATTACAGGCATGAGCACTGGTACCCAGCTAGAAATTTATTCATTGTCCTTCCCAGGGACTCCTATTATTTCACAGATAAGGGAAACATTCAGAAAGGTTAAATAGTTTCAAAGCCCCACAGCTAACAGGTGGGGAAAGGGGGTTCAAGAACTTTACAACACACAATAGTTCAGGTAAAAAATGCCACTGTAGTATGAGAGAGGACCCCTAAGGGCTTTCTCCTGCATTCTACCATGCTACTAAGTACTGGGGTCCCATGGAAAACTAAAAGGAGCTGATTAAAACCTATCAGAGGGATGACCCACTGCAGACATGGCTGGAGTGGGGCAGGAAAGGATCCTAAGTATTTGATACTTAGGCAGATACCTAAAGGAAGACAAGAAGCTTCTCAAGAAACAGTGGGAAGAATAGTACCTGTTTCTGAATATCTTAAATACATTGATAATATTGTTTTGAAAGAGAACAAGAACTGGAGGTAGAGTGCAGTGGGGAGTGTAAAAGCTTAGCATGAACAAGGCCCTCAGTTCAACCTCTGGCACCATAAACAAATAAGTAGATAGACAGAGGGACCAAAGAAAGAGGTTGGCATCTTTAAGAAGTAGAAAGAGGGGCTGGGAAGGTGGCTCAGTGGTAGAGCGCTTGCCTTGCATGCCTGAGGCCCTGGGTTCGATTCCTCAGCACCACATAAGCAAAAAGAAAAAAGCCAGAAGTGGCGCTGTGGCTCAAGTGGTAGAGCGCTAGCCTTGGGCTGAAGAGCTGAGGGACAGCGCCCAGGCCCAGAGTTCAGGCCCCACAACCGGACCCAAAAAAAAAAAAAAAAAGAATAATGATGTAGGATAATAACAAAAGCTTCCACATGAAGTGCAGGATCAGAATTAAGGGCAAGCAATAGAGAGCCATGCATGGGTATGGAAGGAGCACTAGCGAGGACCTGGTGTGCTGTGCTGAAGTTGGCTTGGAGTCAGGTGCTCCACCTTGGAAATGGAAACATCTCTGGGTGGGCTCTAAGAAGTCACTGAGTATTTTCAACAAAGTGTTAACACAAGAGAAGAGGGGTGCATTGGGGTCTGAGGGGGACATGGCAGCACAGGGGCATTTGGGCAATCATTGAATATTATACCACCTTTGCTCCAGTCAGCAGACTAGCAGGTCCCAGGAGACACATTGAATCTCTACCACAGCAAAGATGCCTGGTATATGTATAGAGACCAGATGCAGCACATAGCTTATTGCAATAGTTTTGAAATGGTGGGACAACCACAATTAGCAACTGTGCCAAAGGAACATCCTTAGTGAGGAATGGGTAAAAAACATCAGATGTCAGGGCTTATGATGAGGATTAGCCCTACTCTATCCTGCCTGGGCAACATCACACGTGACATGGCTGGTATGAGAATTGTTAATGACTCAAGAGTCTGAAAAGCATCAACCTGGTTAGAGGCCAAAAACAAGCCTATACTGAACTAGAACACACCACTTGACAGCAAGAAACTAAGAAGCAGAGGCCAGTTCTGCTGAGCTCTATGAACAAGGAACTGCCTTGAGAGCCTGCAGCTAAGGAGGAAGAAGGCTTTCCTGCAGCCAGGCCCCAGGGCTGTGCAGGTCAGTTCTATGCCGCACTCCCACGTCCTCTGCCCAGTGGCTGCTCAGACAGCCCTTTCATGTTTGATGCCCAAAACATAAACCAAGATGCTCCGAGCACTGTTTTCAGTCCTGCAAACCTTTTCTTTTTTCTTTTTCTTTTTGTCGGTGGTGGGGCTAGAACTCTGGGCCTGGGTGCCGTCCCTCAGCTCTTCAGCTCAAGGCTAGCGTTCTTGATCCACAGCACCACTTCTGGTTTTCTGGTGGTTTATTGGAGGTAAGAGTTTCACGGTCTTTCCTGCCCAGGCTGGCTTTGAACCCTGATCCTCAGATCTCAGCTTCCTGAGTAGCTAGGATTACAGGCTTGGGCCACCAGTGCCTGACTGCAAACCATTTTTAAAAAGCTTTTGCTCCTAATTATAGCTTGAAGATCATGTGCTATAAAACAGAAGACAAGCCAAACAAAACAGGCATTTCTGCCTTTGCTAATATTGTACTTTGTCCCTGGTAACCCTTCCACCCGGCTCCAGTTCTTGGGCCTCCCAATCCTCACTTGTAGTTATGTCTGGTCTTCCCTTACTCACACTGAGACCTCAGGTAATCAATCTGTGAGTGGCTGTGGTCAGGACCCAGCATACCTTGAGAATAGCACTGGTGTTGTTCAGAATTCCTTCTGCTCACTATAGCTGCAGAAAAGCCAGGAAATCTCCCTCCTGAGAAGACGGAGATAGAGGAGTGGCCATTCATGTTTTGGCACTCACTATACCCAAGTAACCTCCTGGCAGACTGCAACCAGCATGTATAGAATCTCTTCACCCATCTAAAAGAATCAGAAGCCAGGCACTGGTGGCTCACGCCTGTAATTCTAGCTCCTCAGGAGGCTGAGATGTGAGGATCATGGTTCAAAGCCATCCTGGGCAGGGAAGTATATGAGACTCATCTCCAATAAAACCACTCAGAAAACCGAAAGTGGTGCTGTGGCTCAAGTGGTAGAGCACTATCCTTGAGCTGAAGAGCTTAGGGACAATGCCCAGGCCCAGAGTTCAAGCCCCACCACAAAAACAAAAACAAAAAAAAAAAAATTCAAAGAATCAGAAGCTTGAATAT